GAATGTACAACGAGACCCGCGACGTCGATGCCGCCATCGACTGGTGTCGGATATCAGTCAGGAAAGCATGCGATATGTACCACCATGTGCACGCCCAGCATGCGCGTGGCTTGTACCGAGAGCATCGACGAGAGCCACCACAGGTACTGGTCAAATATCCGGCACAGGGAGTCGGGTTTCAAGTTGCATGCCTGAAATGATCAAACGCAAGGTCTGATTGCTTCAAGGAGCCTCCGGTCATATAAATACCCTTTAAACCGGAGGTTTGGCAGGCGGATGAATTCCTGGTGCCGCCCCGCGTTCGACAACCTTAGTCGCTCTGTCCCTCAGTCGCTCCTTCGCTCCTCCGCGCTGTGCGCTCTCGCTTGTCATGCCGCTGCTCGTCGGGGCTGTCGTGCTGCCCCTCGTCCGTCGGTTTCGTGATTCGGGTGGGCCGCCGTGCCTCTCGGTGGTGGCCTGTGCCCGCCGTCCGTCTGGGTCCGTGGCGGGATGCCAAGTGGCGGCCGAGGGGCAGGAGGGTCCCTGCGGGGGCCCAGGGGCCTGCTTGGGCCAGGGGCAGGCGGGCCCCCGAAGGGGCCCATGCTCTTGCGGCCTCAGTTGTGCATCCATGGCAGGCGGGCCCTCGCGGGGGCCCATGCGCCTGCGGGAGTCCCTTTTTCCTTGCATGCGTGTCTGCATGCGTGGCTTTGGCTGCATGTGTTGTTTTGGCTGCGTGCGTGGCTCTGGTCGCATGCGTGGCTTCGGCTGCGTGCGTGGTTTTGGCTGCGTGCGGGGCTTTGGCTGTGGCTGTATGCGTGGCTTTGGCTGTATGCGTGGCTCGCGCTACACGCGGGGCTCGGGCTCGGGCTGTATCAGCAGCTGTGGCTGAGGGTGTGGCGGGGGGTGCTGTCTGCGTGGCTTCGGCTTCAAGCGTAGCGCGGGCCCCCGTCGGGCTGCGCGTGCACGTGGATCCGATCGCGGGGGATGCAGCTCGCTCGCTTCGCAGCAGGCGAGATCGCGCGAAAGTAAGAGCGGGCCCCTCCCCCCCCTCACAGAGCAGGTTTCGTTGTCCGCGACGCCGCCGCATCTCTGCCCGTTAGGCCCGTTCTCGGTCGACCCGTGCTTTTTTTGTGGGCGGCTGGGCGAGCTGGCTGCGGTCAGCAGAGATTGGGGGGAGCAGTGGCGGCGCCAGCAGGCGCGCGGGTTCGCGGCGCCCGCATGCGGGGGCCCGTGCGCGGGGGGGGGGGGGGGCGGTGACCAGTGCCAGGCGTGCTTCGGCGATCTTGCGCGCCAGTTCCCGCGCCTTCGAGCGGCCGGGCGCGGCCGCGGCCGGCCCCGCTCGAATTCCCTCGGACGATGAACTCGCGGCGACGGTCCCGCTCCCATTTGGCCAAGAATCCGCGGGCCAGGCCCTGCTGCGGTGATTGCTCACGTGGCGCAGGCCAGGACCTGCGGGGTGCGCGCGCAGGGGGTGCACGGGCACGGTGCGTGCGCGCGCTTGCTGCGTGGTTGGCCGTGCGTGCGAAGGGCCGGCTATATGCGTGGCTTGGGCTGCATGCGTGGCTTCGCTTTCGCGCGGGCTCTGAGCGTCGTGTCAGGGCTGCGCGCGGGCCATTGGGGCGCGCCGGGGAGGGTCGCTTCCGCGGCGCGCGTGGTGGGGCGTCTCGACGGGGCAACGCGACGCGAATCGGGCGTGCGGCGGACGCGTGCCACCATGATCCACTGTTATTCCGACCGCGAGGTTCTCGCTCTGCTGGAAGCCGCGGGGGAATCAGCTTTCGCCAGAGCGGGTCGTCGGGTCCAGGCGCGCGGCGCGCGATAGAGGAGAGCAGGCTGTTTGCGCCGACGTGCCGCAGGTGAAATGGGGTCACTCTGCGCGGGCGATGGGCGCGGAGCCGCGCGAGAGGTCCGCGATGCATTGCGTGGCGACCGCGCGGATGATGGCGGTGTGCGTCGGATCGGCGCGCGCCGAAGATTTTGCGGAAGCCTCCATCGAGGGGCCGTTGGCCGCGGGATTGCCGGCGGCCGGCTCGAAGCCGCTCAACGCGGGGGGGGGGGCCGAGGGCTGGGCGGAGTTCACGGTGGCTCCCGCCAACCCTGGCCCTCCGCGCTCAGGGCCGCGCTCAGGAATCGTGCATTCCTTGCATTCCGCCGTGGGGCCCTTTGCTTCGGGGAGGGTCGCTGCGCGGGGCGATCCCCCGGGCCCCGAGGGCAGTGGGGACCTCGCGAAGGCCCGCCCTCGCCACCCTTTGCCCTCTCGGCTTTTGGGGGGGGGCTTGTCCTGGGGGGTTGGGGCGCAGCGCGGGCGGCCAGGCTTCGGGGTCGGGTCGGCGTGAGGGGTGTGCCATGGGGTCGCCCTGTTCCGCGGGCCCGATTGTGTTGTCCGCCGCGCCAGGACGTCCGCGCCCTTTTCCAGTATGAATGAGTGCTAATTACCGCGTCGATACTTTTGATTCGTTCAGTTCTCCATCTGTCGGCGGATCAACCAGATCCTGGTCAGCAGTGATCGCCGCGAGAGCGCCCGCGTGACAAGTCACCAACGCCACCGATCACACTGGCAGTAGCTATTTCCAAGAGTGCCAGTACTCTCAGGTAGCCTGATTGGCGTGTGGGAGTGCGCGTGCGGGTGGTCACCGCGCAGGGCGGGGCCCGTTGGACCGCGTGCGCCCGTTTGGCGTCTACGACGCACTGAGGAGGGAGAGGCCGACCCCTCGCTGTCCGCAACCGCGCGACGACCACAACCACGACGTTCCACCAGCATTCGAACTGGAGCCCGCGCGCCCGTCGGCCGCCATCTCGACTCGCGCGCGCTTTCGGCGGGGCCTCGCAGTGCATTGTGTCCACGGGCAGAGCGCTGGGTCTCGCCGACGCCCCTCCGAGCGGCATGGCCCAGAAGGGGGTGCGTGGCCGTGCAGTGCGTTTGCGGGGCGCCATTGTCCGCGCCGCGTCGCTATGTGGCTCCCATATGGCTGTGCGGCGCGTTTGCGGCGCGCTCCTTTGCACCCTGCGACGCCGCCGCGCCGCTGCGCGGCTGGATCGCGCAACGGCGTCGCGCAGGGCGCAGAGCAACGGCCGCAAAATGCGCGCTGCAGGTCCGCGCCGTCGCGACGTGGCCACGCGCGCGCTGGCGCGGCGCGTTCCACGCTGCGGCGCGCCCGCGCGACGCTGCGCCTCGCAATATGGCGCGGCGTCGCGTGCAGGCGCGCGACGCTGCGATGGCAGGGCGCGCGCGCTTGCGCCGGGCGCGCGGCCATCGAAAGCGCTCCGGCGACCAGGGCAGGCCAAGTTAACGCGCGCTGCCGCGACGGTCTTTCAGATCATTCAGCGCGAGTGTATTGCCCTTGCACGGCCGCATCCAGCGCGCGTGCTCACACCAAACGGCTGCGCCAATTTCAAACGAACGGCTCGCGCCACTGTCCCGGCGATCATTGGCAGCCTGATCTGCGTGGTCGTCGACGCCAGCGCGATCGTCGCCGCGGGGGCGTTCTGCCTCCACTCCAGACGAGTCCGACGTCGCGCCCCTGCCAAGAATCATCGGCCACACGCCCAGGACACGCGCCAACGCGATTTTCGCAGAGCACCAGCAGGCAGCGCCAGTCCCAGTCCAAACGACCGTGACCTGCCTGCGGAAAAAGCACTGGCGCAGAGGCTCTCAGGCAGGCCAGTGCACCGCGCGCGCGGCCATGCTCAGCCTGGACAGCCAGGCACGCAGAAACGCGCGCACAAACGCGCGTGCGGCTGTCCACGCATACACAGATGCACACGTAAGCCATCAAGCCAGGACGGCGGCGATATTTTCTGTCCCGCGTTGGCGCTGCGTCGAAACAGCCAGTGGCAGTGGAATGCGCGCGCCGTGCGATGCAACGCAGCTGCAGCAAATGCGGGGGACGCATCGTGCCCTCTCTCTCACACTATCTACATGTCTGTTCAGGTTGTCGGATGCACTGTCCCATGCTGCTGGGGCCTAGGTGCATTGGCTACGGTGCCAGCGCTGTCTTCCAGGTGGCCGCAACCTCACCGAGCTCGGCTGTATTTATTTGTGCACCATTGACTCGCGCCGTCACCCTGGCAACAGTGCGGCCATGGCTCCTGCGCTCTTCGGCGCGCCACAGCGCGCTCGCGCGCAACCGTGCGGCACGCGAGAGCGCGCGCGCGAGGCACCTCGTTCGCGCCGAATTCCGTGCAGGCAATCAGTCTGGCGCGCGGCAGCCAACGCAATTGGGCCGGGAAGGTGGGCCACGCTGCGACATGGAAGTGCTGGATTCGGCTTGGTATGCTGGTACTACCTACCAGCACAGAAGCGAATTTCGTTGCATGTTCGTTGCGTCTTGCATTCGGATGCGAAGTATTAATCTCACACTGCGTGCACTGCATGCCGTCGTCCTCGTCATCGAGCATTCCGATGTTGTGAGCCATTCTTGCAGTGGCTCAGCCTCGTTCGCGCGCCGATCTACAGCTTGTGAGCGTCGGCTCGACCCCTGGGCGACTCGCGCGAGCCAGCGGTTCCGTTGCTGCGATCGCGAATCGTGAGAGCTGGCTAGTGCGTCTCATGCGCGCGGCACGACTGACGGCGTAACCGTCGCTCCACCTTGGCCGAGAGCTGCTGCGCAGCACGGCCCTGAGTGCCCGGGCGACCGGGCACGCATCCACGCCCGCGCGGGCGCGCGCGCGCGCAGCAAACAACATCCGAAAACAGGTCGCCAACAAGTCAGGCGACCTCCAGCGAGCAACGGCGCTGCCGTGGCCAAAGATGCCCCCGCGCACGTCAAGGAGCTGCCTGATCTCCAGGCGGACTCCTACGCTCATCCCGTCGTTGCCTCGCCGAGGATGTTTCGGGGCGCTGGAATCGCCCCGAACGTCGGCCTGAGCCCGAGTCGCGAGACTGCCTGCGTGAACACTCATGCACCCTGCCGCGTCGCCTCGCCGTGGATACCGACGTCTAGACGCCGCGACAATCGCCCTCGCCGCGTCCCTCGTGCTGCGCGCTGTCCCGTGTGCTGCGGGGCTGGGCAGGATGTGAGGCAGTGCGACCATCCGCGACGCGGGGCATCTCGACCGCATGGTGTCCACCAAGGATGTCGAGTCTAGCCTTTCTGACGCCCTCGAGGAATCATTCGGTGGCGGCGCCGCCGTTGCCAGCCGCCTTTGGCGCATCGAGGCCAGCGTGGGGCAGACCTACCAGGAGCTGGCCGAGAACTCGGCGGGGCGCCTTGGGCCGCGGGAAGTTCGCCGCATCATGCGCGGCTGCTCTGCCAAGTAGCACGGCTGGCTCACCGACGGCGTTGAGCACCACGGTATGCAGCATACTGCGTCAGAAGTGCGCGAGGTCGACGTCCTGCAGGATGAGGCCCTCGCGTTCGTGGAGGAGCTCCTCGAGGCGCGCCGCGCCTGGCGCGAGCTGTCGCTGGGCGACGTCGGGGTGGCTCTGGAGAGGCGGATCGTGAACGAGTCGCTGGACCTGGTCCATGCTGCGCGCGTGCTGAACGAGCGCGCCGTGGCGGACAGGATTGATAAAGCGCGCTGCGTCGCGTCTTGTCCTCGTGCCTCTGCGCATCTCTTCGTCCGTCAGCCGGGCGCCCGCGGCGGCGACGCGGATGTGCGGCGGCGAAGGGCCATGGCGAACGCCGTGAGCAGTGCCAGCGGCAAGCGGTTGGCGCTCGCTCGCAGTAACCGGAGCCGACGCGATGCGGGGCCGCGACTTCGAGAGCGACATTTGGGCGAACCTGTTTGCGGCGAGGGCGTGCGGCCTCGGAGAGGCGTCGGGGGTCGTCGAGGGCCCCGCGCGGGGCTGCGGCGCGAGGCAGCACCTTGCGCCGGCAGATGAAGGAGGAGCTCGAGAGCCTGGACCCCGACGGGTCGAGCCGCACGCCGCTCGAGGTCTCCTGCTCCCAGCCGCCGACGGCCGACGGCCGGTTGCCAATTCGCCGAGCCCACCGAGTGCCTGCGCGCGGTCGGCGCAGAATATGAGCCCAGCAGCGGCGCCCGCACGGCGGACTACATGGCCGGGCCTTTCACTTGCTTCGTCAGGTCGACGTGCTACTCAGTGTGATGCCCCAGCGACTGCCATGGCATGATGAACGAACTGGCGGGCAAGGTTCGCCCGCCTGCCGCCTCCCAGCCTTGCGGAGGCGACCATCGCCGACGCCTGCGCCCAGATGCCCAGTCCCATGGCGAACATCAGCGACCTGCAAAAGCAGAACAACATGCACGCCTCAATGCACCACGTCTGGCAGACTTCTGAGCCGATCCTGCCGAATGTGGGCAAGATCTACCCCGTGAAGCCCGTCGTGACCAACGCCATTAACGACTTCATGCCGATGGCGACCTCCCAGGTTGCTGGCCTGCAGGAGGCCTCGGGCGAGATAGAGGGGCATGGCGCGCCAGTGCATCGTCGCTGCGCGGCAGTGCTGGACATGCCCCTCTCTGTTCGCTCCTGCGTCAGCTCCTGGAGTGGGTGCTCTCTCGCCGACCGCGGCCTGGTGCTGCGGCCGCTTATCGGGGGCGGTGACTGGGGGCGACGCTGCGTTGGCCAATTTGCGTCTGCGCATTGTCTGCGCCACATCATGACATCGCCCTCGCGAGGACAAGCGCACGCAAGCGCGCCGTCGCGCGCGCGGCAGTGCCTGTCCCAAGGCACCGCCGGTGATGTCACTCCCAGAGTTGCTGAACATGTGACATCAGTCACCAGCCTTATCGCCAGGAGCCTGACAGCGACGCGCAGAATCCGGCGGTCGTCATGGCTGTTCGCGACCTTATGTCTTGGGCAAGGACAGCTGGACGAACCGGCTTTCCTCGCGCGGCTGCCAGCAGCGCGAACCCCGCCGCGTCCGCAACGGATCGACGGGAAGTGCATGTGCCTCCATTTGGTGCAGCGCCATCCTTGTGATGCTGAACGCGCTGTGCAGCATGGGTTCACGTGCGTCTTGACAGCCGCCGCCAAATGCCGATGGGCTCGAGCATGTTTGAATCCGAAGTATCAGCGACAGGTGTGCGCAAGATTTTCTGGCTCTGGTGCCTCAGAACCGCCTGCGCTACGAGGTGCTGGCGCGTCAGCGCGCCACCGGAGAGGTTAGGGCTGAATCACTTGTCGTAGTTCCTTACAGACCAGCTGGCATGTATCGCGGTGGCCTGGCACGTTGGCCACGCTGTGCTTGGCCGAGGTAGGTGCCTGCGACGCCGCGCTGCTGTTGGCCTTCCCCCAGATGGCCCGCGTCGCGTCGGCGCGTGTGAGCAGTCGCCAGACCAGCGCGCGGACCAGTCAACAGCTGTGATTGGTACGCGTGAGCAACCAGAGGCGCGCTGCTGCAAACAAGTGGGCGAGCTGCATCTGCGCGCGCGCGCGACGCGGGGCGCGCGGGTGCTCTCTTGCTGCGCAGCTTCGCAAGCGACGCAATGGCCAACAACGCCCGCGGGCGCCTATTCACAGAGAGTGCCGAAGGCGAGCGGCCGCGCCAGCTGTCTGCCAGAAACAGAGCCAGTGAGCGAACCTTCCTGGGAGGCACGATCGGCGTTGCGGAGCGAACGCTCCCGGCTGCGAGGCGACATCGGTGGGTCGCGTTGGGCAAAGAGCTTGTATCTGGGCTCTCCTGGCGGAGGGGGGTCGTTGCGATCCGCAGCCATGGCCAGGGTCAGCTCAGCTCATCTCGCGCGCGAGCTGACCACGAGCGAGCCGCGTCTCCCAGATTTCAGAGGACTCCGTTCGGGCTGAGGCTCCTGAGCCATGGGTGAGGAGTGCTGGGCGTCCACTGCAAAGGGCGCGCGGTGAATGTTCTGGCATCTCATTGCGGGTGGCCCCCAGCGGCCTAAGTGCTGCGGAGGGGCGCTTTCCACTGCCTTGTAGCCCCGACTCGAATGGGAGGGGTCCGCTGCCGTATTGCTCGCAGCTGGCCAGCGCACCTGATGCTGTAGTGAAGGAAAAGGGGCAGCCGCTGTGCTATCTCTCATGTTAGAATTGCCGCCGTGTCTCTTACCTCTCACCACTGCCACCCGCAGTTCTTGTTCTCCGCTCCTGCTATTCCTCTTCTTCCTCCTATCAGCTGCTGTTGCTCCTCCCCCCGCTGCCCTTTGCCGCTCCGCCCGCCCCGCCCTGCCGCCTCCGCCTTCCAATGCCGCGCCCCGCCGAGCTTGCCTTCCCGCTTACCTCGGCCGCGGAGACCTCCCGTGCCCGAACCTCACCCGCCGCCCGGCTCCCCTCCCCCCCGGCGCGCCGCAGGCCCTGGGGCGCCCGGGCGCGGCGGCGCCCCCCGCGTCGCCCAGCGGGCCAGTGGCGCCGTCTGCGCCGCCTTCGCCGCCGAGTGGCTCGGCGGTGCCGCCGTCGCCGCAGGAACCGCTGGCGTGACGCGCAGCCGCGCGCGCGACCGCTGAGCGCTGGCGCGGCGACCGCGCGCACGCACGACCGCTGCTCGCGAGCGCACACGCTGCGGTACGTGCTGGTGTGCGCGCGTCACGCGGGGCACCGGCTCACTGCGCGCCCTGCACACTGGCGGGGTGACCAGCTGCCGTCAGCGCCGTTGCTCGGTGACGCGTTTTCGCGCGCGCACGGCCACCGCGCGCGCTGAACACGCGTCGTCGGATTTGGCTGTCGGGGTGCGCCAAGTGTGCACCGGTACCGATCCTGGGCTCATGATGTGCGCGGCCAGGGGCGGCCAGTATCGGTGCTGGCGTACAGATTTGACGGGGGTCAAAAACAACCTTGGTTTCGGAGGGGTACCCTTATTCCTTCGCCGCTGGGCCCTCCACCTTCTGATGTCGTCCGTTGTGGGTAATGTCAGTCTGTGGTGAATACATGATGACCCCCCTGGGACTGATGACTAGACCCCGCGGGGCGCGGAACATTGTTCCCAACCATCCTGTGGTGTTAGGTCATCGTTTTGACGAGACATCGCCCCGCGTCTCACTCCTCCTCCTTCCTCCTCCCTCCTGCTTCCTCCCTTTCCTTGCCTGTGCTCGCTGCATATGTCCACCATTTCGGCACACCCCTCACGCGTGTCGTGGCCCCGAAGAGCTCCACCGAAGACCCTAGTGACACAGGTTGCATGCGTCACCGCCGCCTACTTCGGCACACCGCTCACACAGTTCGTGGCCCCATAGGGAGAGCTCCACCGAAGGCCCCAGTGGCAGGGTTCGCATGGCGACGCCGCCCCATTTCGGCACATCCCTCACCAGGATCGTGGCCCCGTAGGGAGAGCTCCACCGAAGGCCCCAGTTGCAGGGTTCGCATGGCGACGCCGCCCCATTTCGGAGCGCCCCTCACCAGGATCGTGGCCCCATAGGGAGCTCCACCGAAGGCCCCAGTGGCAGGGTTCGCGTGGCGACGCCGCCCCATTTCGGCACACCCCTCACCAGGTTCGTGGCCCCTTAGGGAACTCCGCCGAAGGCCCCAATGGCAGGGTTCGCATGGCGCCGCCGCCCCATTTCGGCACACACCTCACCAGGATCGTGGCCCCGTAGGGATCTTCACTGAAGGCCCCAGTGGCAGGGTTCACAGGGAGCTCCACCGAAGGCCCCAGTTGCAAGGTTCGCATGGCGACGCCGCCTCATTTCTGCACACCCCTCACCAGGATCGTGGCCCCATGGGGGGCTCCGCCGAAGGCCCCAGTGGCCGGGTTCGCATGGCGACGCCGCCCCATTTTGGCGATGTGGCGGTGGTGGTGATGATGGTGGTGGTGATGATGCTGATGCTGATGATGCTGATGATGATGCTGATGTTGGTAATGCTTCGGATGCTGATACTGATGATGATGCTGATGCTGATTCTGATGATGATGATGAGTATGATGCGGTTGACGATGCTGATGATGAGAAGGCTGCTAGTGCTGCTGATGATGGTGATGGTGAGGCTGCTGATGCTGGTGATAACGATGATGCTGCTGCTGATGATGATCATTCTGATGGAGATGATGATGCTGCTGATGATGATGATGATGATGATGATGATAATGACGACCATGCTGTAACTGACGCTCGCTGATGATCATGATGCTGATGGCGATGATCATGATGCTGATTATGACTATGCTGATGCTGATGATGATGATGTTGACTGTAATAACGCCGCTGACGATGATGTTGATGATGATGCTGATGATGATGATGATGATGATGATGATAATGATGATGATGATGATGATGCTGCTTCTGATGATGATACTTGTGTGGTTGATGCTGCTGTGGCTGATGATGATGACGACGACAATGATAAAGATGATGATGAGGCTGAAACTGCTACTGATGATGATGCGGCTGCTGCTGCTGATGATGATGATGAAGATGAGGACGATGTTGATGATGATTCTGATTATGCTGACGATCATGCTGCTGCTGATGATGATGCCGGTTCGATGATGATGTTGATGATGCTGTTGTTGATGATGATGTTGATGATGCCGATTATGTTGATGACGATGGTGCTGATGATGACGCTGATGGTGATGATGATGATGCTGATTATGATTTTGATGAAGATGCTGATGCTGATGGTGATGATAGTGATGATGATGATGATGATGATGATGA